TACACTTGCGGTAATTTAAATCGAAAGAAATTATTTCGTGAACACTGTGTGTCAAGGTTCATGTTTTCAGTTCTCAGGCCTGCGTGCCAAGCTTTATTTTTCGGTAGTCAGGCTTGCGTACCAAGTCTATTTTTAGAGTATAATAAGAAATAAGCAATTCATCAAAATGTAATCTTATGAAAAGGCCCATCCTTGTCCTCGGGAATCACACTATAGGTCAAGACAATTTCATTTTCATTTAGTCCTCGAGACAATTTCCTTATTAAGGGATGACCCTAAGATCAAGTTACTACCTTTGTTTGAAACTTCTATGGATTAAGTCATCGAGATTTCTAAGCAGTTTACCAGTTTGTCTTAGGCGTCGAGATGTTGATTTATCCATGATGTTGAGATATCAATTTATCTTAGGCGTCGAGTTATTAATCTTGGGCGTCAAGATATCAATACATCTAGGACGTCAAGATATCAATTTATCTTAGGCGTCGAGTTATTAATCTTGGGCGTCAAGATATCAATACATCTAGGACGTCAAGATATCAATTTATCTTAGGCGTCGAGATGTTAATTTATCTTTGACATTGAGATATCAATTCATCTAGGACGTCGAGATATCCATTTATCTTAGGCGTCGAGATGTTAATTTATCTTGGACGTCGAGATATCAATTCATCTAGGACGTCGAGATATCAATTTATAAAAGGCGTCGAGTTATTAATTAATCTTAGTCGAGTTATTAATCTTGGGCATCGAGATATCAAGTCATCTTAGGCGTCGAGTTATGGATTCTCTTAAAGTCGAGCTAGGTCACATCACTTAGTTTAGTCCTTAAAGGAACTTAAAGCTCAAGCAAACATAATCGAAATAACATAGTAAGAAGCGCAAGTTAAGCTCGGGAAGAATACATTGATTTCAAAAATAAAGAGCCAAGAGTATTAAAAAAAAAAAAGAAAACAGAAACTAGTCTACATCCTTGGCTTCTTCTCTCGAGGCCAGACTTCCTTGCTCTTCCGCCACGTCCTCGCTGTCAATATCAACTTCCTGGTCGTCAACGGTTTCCTTGGACTCTGAAAACTCGAGGTCTTCAGCAACCTCTAGGATGTTCTTCAAATCCTCGGGCTTTGCATCAGTCCTCAAGGTCAAAAATGCCCGAGCCTCTTTCAAAGCATGGAAGTACGAGCCCATGGCGTACTCTCCCTTTAGCCCATTGAACTCCTCAGATGTTTTGAAGTCCTCATCTGCGATATCCCGAGCTTTGGTCAGACGAGCTTCGAAATCCTTCTTCAAACGCTCTATCTCGAGCTTTAACTCCTCCACCTCGTCCTTGGCTATCCCAGCTTCTTCCCGAGCCTTCAGTAGATCATTCTTGACATCATCACGTTCCTTCTGAAGAAGGAAGCGCTCAGCCTCCATATTAACAATCATCTTCTCGCGTACCTGAGCAGAATTCTTGAGCTCAGCAGTTCTTTGAGCCTCATCTTTCCCCTTTAGAGAAAGACCTTAGACAATACTCAGAGTCTGCAATATATAAAACCTAAGCTTAATGATCAAGTCATAGAAAATCCATAAATTACACCAAGTAAAATGAACGAGCTTACCTTTAGAGTAAGGGATTCAAGAGTTTTCATGCCCTCGTCAAAGCCGAGGTTCTTTCGATATTTGTCCACGATGCTCGACACTAGAGGACACCAATTAGGATCTCGATTTTGAAAAGAAGGCACAGGAAGGACCTCATCCTCGAGGTCAACAACCTTGGGAGTACTCCTTAACCGAGGACGTGACCGAGGAGTGGGAATCAGAGTTTTGTGATCGTGAATGATCAGGGATTGTCCTTGGGTAGATGTCTCGCCAGGACCACTCCTAATAGTCCCAGGCCTTGAATCTCAAGGCCTATTTTTCCCCTTTTTCTGACCTGGGGCTCGGAATTGAGGGGCCCTTGACTTCTTATTCACGGCCTGTCAAAGAGCTAAAGGATCGAAAGTTATCCCTGAAAAGACAAGTAATTAGCGTGAGCATAATTAACAAAGACAGATCGACGAGAAAAAGGCGAAAGTACGATCCCTACCCTCAGCACTTTTCACATCTGCAAGATCGAGAATATCATCCCCCAAAATGTCATCTATATCATAAACAAGAGGCTCGAGGTTCTCTAACATCACCCTATCCCTTTCTAAAGACTCGAACTAGGCCTGCCCTTCACAAAACCTGGCCGTATCGGGCAAACCCCACCTAGGACTAAAAGGAAAGTCAAAATCCTGAGGTATGACATAAACCACTTTTCTTTCCACCCCTTTAATGAACTTGGCATCCTCAGTATCCTGAAACCTCATCGAGATGAAAGATAGGTAAAACATGTATATTGAGGCAGCTGTTTCAAATCAAAGACCATTCTACAAAGGTCGATGTATGGGTCAATACCTAAGTACTTACAAGCTATAAAAAAGTAAGTAAGCATCCTCCATCCATTTGGCACGAGCTGACCAGGGCTCATGTTGTGCTCGACCAGTAAGGCCACAAAGAAGGGGTGCAAGGGACATCTAAATCCACCCTTTAGCGAGTCTCTGAAAACTACAAACTCTCCATCTCGAGCAATAGCCATCCTATTCTCACCCCCTGGCGTTCTAATATCACACTTAGGCATGAGCCCATGCTCCATAGCCATCCATATCGCTAGATGCTTCTTAAATTTATAGGGAAGGTCGGGCTACCTAAGGGGAGTTGGGATACCTTGTGCCCGAGGATGTACATTAATGGGCACTGCCATGGGTATGATCGAACGCTCCTTGTCCTCGGGGGTACTCCTCATGGAAGAGGACGAAGACTCACTATTACTACAAGACATCCTGACCTAGGCAAAAAAGTGTCTATAGAATAACTTAAGGTCTTGAGGTCTTACCTTAAAGTCGAAGCCTAAAAAACCCACCATAGTTCTGATCCCAACGATTAGCGAGAGAAGTTTACTGATGGTGAAAAGTGAAAAATGAAAAGTGAACAAGGTATTTATAGGCAACAAAAGAGGGTATCCCAAAGGTCACTACCCCGACCGTCAGATTTGGCCACGTGTCCTACATCCATCCCATAACGCTTTTTACCGCCTTTTCTTATTTAGGGCTTACCTCAGTACACATTAGCCCTTCTGAACACCTGTCTTCAAGAACTCCCTCGAGCTTACGCACCCGAGCTCTTTTCCTTCTGGCTTATTTTGCACTATATCCTTGAGGAAGGCTCGAGAAAAGGTGCAAGGGGGCCAGTGATACTGACAGTTCCTGTGTATCCCGATCATTCGCGAAGGCATTTTTTACGATTTTTGATCATTAGTGCTCGGGATGTATTGGGTCCTCGGGGTACATGTGCCCGACCTTTATAACTTTCAAAGATTGCAAGATGTCCTCGGGAAATCCCTTTGAGGTCCTCAACTATCATCTTTCTCGTACTAAGGAGAAGGTCTATCCCCTGAGAACTCTTATCTGGCACAAATACTTCAAACCACATCTCCTAAGTCTAAGAGAGTCCTCTTAACAATTGGTCTTCTAATCATAGTAGGATCCAAACACTGTTTTCTCATGGGACTCTATCGGATAAGGATACCCATATAGTTAAATCCTACTAGGAAAGCACCATACACCTCTATAAATACAGAACCTTAAACCATTATTCATGTACGTTTCTCATTATTCTCCAATTTATAACATCACGCATATAATTCTCTTTATAACTTAAGTATCAGAGAGGCGACGAGAACATACCTCATTGCCTTTGTTTCAGGTACCGAAAGACTACGATCATGCTCAATCAAAATCATCAAGCTCGGGAAATCAACAGGTACGATTTTTGGTAGCATCAGGATCCATCCTATACCTTAAAATATGTTCGAGGTCAAGCTCTTTCATTTTAAATTTTGGTAAAGCTCGACGTTGAGCTCATTCATGCCAAAATCCTTTACAAGGTATAGGGATCAAGCCCTTCATTTCAAAATTTATAAACGAGCTCAAGGTCGAGCTTCATTCTTTCAAAAAATTTAACAAGATAGGGACCGAGCCCTTCCTTTAAAAATTAATGAGCTCGAGGTCGAGCTCTCCTCTTTCAAAATTTTTGACGAGGTCAGGGTCTAAACCTCTCCAAAAATTTTTAATGAGCTCGGTCGAGCCCATTTCCTTCAAATTTTTAATAAGATAGGGGTCGAGAGTGCCTATCAACTCGTCATGAACTCACGAACTCTTTAGCATGACCATGCTAACCTCTAAGCACGAGCATGACCACTCCTTGGCATGAGCTCGCCAACTCTTTATCGTGATTAGGCCTAATCCCTGGCATCAACATGCCAACCTCTAGGCATGAGCATGACAACTCCTTGGCATGAGCTGGCTGACCTCTAGGCTTTGGCACGCTTATACCTTGGCATGAGCTCGCCAACCTCTAGGCATGAGCACGCCCTTATCTTGGCATCAGCTCTCCTATCTCTTGGCATGAGCATACCCATCACCCGACATGCTTGTACATCTCATTTCAGAAACTTGTATATCGCGCAAGCCTCTAACATGGATGCACGGGGGCCAGTGATGTAGTCACTTTTAGCAACCTCCCGAGGTGATTCTCCCAAGGACTTATAGGGTCTTGCTCATCACATGTTGGGGCACATAGTCCTCGGGTAATACACCCAAGGAATGGCGACTTGCATCATCGTGATCTAGTCGATAGTATCCTTAGGCATAAGTCTTCGAGCATCCTTTTAATATACGGGGTTCATGAGTTCTCGAGCTATTCCCTTCATACTGAACACCCCTTTTGTCAAACCCATAAGAAGTCTTACCTTCTAAAAACTCTAATATGATTCAAACACCTCAACCCAGGACTCCTACGTCCACAAGAACTCTATGTCAACAATAGTATCATTGGTCATGCAATTATATTACAAATAAAATACTCTTATCAAGTAGGACTCTATTGGATAAGGACATCCAATTAATTCAATCCTACTAGGAGTACATTATCTACCTCTATAAATACATAACCTAAGTCCATTATTTAGGTACGCTTTAACATACTATTTCAATATATGTTCTCATATAAATTTCCTGTCTGACTTAAGCATTGAAAGGGGACGAGAGCACATCTCGTTGCCTTTGTTTCAGGTACTGGAAGACTTTGTTCGTGCTCTTTCTCAGTCCTCAAGTTCGGGAGGCTTATCAGGTACAATTTTTGGTAGCATCAGATACCATTATTTACATTCAACGCTTTATATATGCATCTCACTCTATGTACATCTCTATTAAAATATTAACATTTTAAAACAATTACTATTTTCATCCTCGTAAAATTTCAATATTGTCCTTATTAAATTCATTCATTTAAATATTATAGATCCATACAGAGTTTATATATTCATCCATTATAAATACATTTGTAATACAATTTCGAAAATCACTATATTATTCAATCATTATCATCATTTAATCTAGTTCTTACTTTTTATTTTCTATATTGCAATATCGGTGCTTTAATATTTAGATATAAATGTTAATAAATCTCTCTCTTTTTATTTTTATTTTTATTTTTCTGAATTTAAAGGATTCTTTCAAAAGTATACTGCTTAAACAACCACACAAATTCCTTCTCGAATCATATATTAATTAACTTTTTTTGCTTATAAACTCATAATTTTGGTTGTTTTTATTTCGATTGATAATTTTAAGTTTGTGCCCTTTTATAATGTAAGAATATTTGGATACATAACCTTATTTTGAAATTTCTCATATATTTTCTTCTGTCAAATCAATACTTAAAAAACATAAAAAGTAAGAATCCAATTTTCATGTCATGAAAAAAATTATAACTCTAATAATGTGTTGATTTTCTTCTCCTTCTTCTTCTATTTTTTTTTCTATTGAAGAGGATATTTTATGATTAGGGTTTTATGATTTTAGTTAAAGATAATGTTTTATAATTATTAAAATTTTAGTCAAACACAAACTCTAAAAGAATATAAGAAAGTTTAAAAGAATTTATGAAAATAAATATTAGTGGATGAATTTAGAAAAAAAAAGTATTTTTATTTAATTTATATATATCTATTTAGGTAAATTTACATAAGATAAAATATATAATATAATTATTTTTTTAAAAGTGGATGTATATATAAAAATTTTGAATTTAAATAGCAATACCCTTTTTTTAAGTTTAAATATATATAAATTCTAGTGAATTACGTAAATTTAAATAGATTTCCACAAAATCCATAAGAATCTCATTACAAACTGTAAAATTTCAAAAGAGTTTATTATGCGTATTTTTAAGTTTGAAATCCATCCAAATATTTGAAAATCCCCCTTTTTAATTTTTAAAAGATTTCATAGAAATTCATTAAAACTTAGTTGAGGACATCTAGATTTTAATAAATTTTATTAAATTCTCAATTGGAAACACCTAAATCTAGAATTAGAGATTTAAAATAATTAAGAATTTAAGATACGATAATGTTATCTTAAGGGAGCCATTATTCCGGTAAAGCTGCAATTCGTATGAGCGAGGGTTTCTTGGATGTCCGACTTCAAGTCAACCACAAAATTAGCTCCTTTTAACAATGATTACGAATTTTGACTTAAAATAAGTTGTTCCATCGTTTAACTTTTATTATAATTAATAATTGTATAAGTTGTCCAAAAAAAACTGTCACCATATAAAAAATAATAAAAATAATAATAATAATAAAAAAAATACAACTAAAAGTGTAAGGTCAGATATTCAACTACTACTATGGAAAATATGTTGTAACTAATTATGTAATAATATTTCGCTTTGGCGTCTAAATATGACACAAAAATATGACAGTATAGAATTAGGATTAGGAGTTTGGAGGGAATTAGGAATTATCCGTTGCTTTGTCCTTCTTTGAAGAAACCGATTCCTGCTGTGATACGAACAAAGAGGCAGATTCACTGCTATATATACCTCCCTATGGAATATGTATTGTCTTCGTAGCCTCATTATTGACCTGATTTGTAATCTTTGGAGAACCCTATTTTCCGTACTAAAATCGAACTAAATGTCTTCTTCCCAAAGATATTATTATGAATACCAATTGTCCCAACATGACAATGACGCCATTCCACCCAATCCTGCAGATGATGTTTATTATAACATCGTAATAACATATATACTGAAAAAAAGACAAAGTCCTGGTCAAGCTGATGACGAGGAAACATTAGGTTCACACTACAGGGGTTTTTACATGCTTTCTTACAACCTTATGGACCCTCAAAATCATTTAGATACAGTTTTTATGCGTCTTTGGGTGTGTGATGATGATGTAAGGCAAAGATTGGTACGGGACATTATGGATTTTCCTAATCAAATAAGGGCGGATCCAATTAACGCTGGTAGGACAACATTCGCAATGCTTGTGTCCATTAAGGTTTATATTGTACAACAAGAGGATGAAACTGTTGAGGATGCCAGGGAGAGGTCCATTGTGTGTAGGTTCTGGAGTGAAAATCCGTCATTCATTCAATCGTTGGAGAAGGTTAAAGTAGAAATTGATAATTCGGAACAAGAAGAGTGTTGTATTTGTTTGAACAAGCCTTGTGTTGGAGAAGAAATATCCTTCTTACCATGCTTGCATGCTTATCATTCTACGTGTATAATCACTTGGCTAGCGAAGAACAACCTATGTCCATTGTGTCGCACGCCTATGCCCTCGAATTAACCCTCAAGGTTTCATTGAAATTCTTTAGGAACGGTAGTATTGTTTAGAATATCAAGATATTCAACTTCGGTGCAAAAAGTTAGAAGTTGTCTCTATGTTTCAACGCCCTTTTATTTTCTGATTTCTCTTGTTAGTTTGACCAGTGCATTCCTTTTGAATCTATTGTTCATTGCGTAATACGGTTCCTTTATATTGCAATTAATATAATAAGAGTAAAGTTGAAATGAAATGAGGATGAATATAATAATTTTTTAAAATTATAAAATTGTAATAAAGATAGATTTAGAGTGATATAGATATATAAAAATGGTGTAGATGTATAATGTTTAAATGCATGAATTTAATAAGAATAATTTAGGAATGTAATATGAACGATTATGATACTTTTTAAAAAAATTTAATGGAAATATATTTAGAGTGGAATATATATAATAATGGTGGATGAAAATAACTATTCCAAGTATAATAATAACCTTTTAAATTTTAAATAATAGACTATCTGATCATGTTATAATTTTCTCTCTTTTTTAATTTTATTTTTTGATAGAAAAAATTGTAGCCGAGATACCAAACCTTTCTTTTATTAGCATACTTCATCAAAACCTTTCATTTGTGTCACCGAAGGTATCAAACCTTCAAAAAATTCGCATCCGAAGTCCAAAGTAACAGAAACCGTTAGTTTTGGCTGTTAGTTGACCAGAGAATTAATATTGACCATAATTTTGACTAATTTTAATAGGATGTAATGGTAATCTTACATTTTCCAATAAAAAAACACAATTATAATTGATAATCAAATAAAAAAAAGACCAAATACAAACATTATCTTATTCCCCAACCCCGTTAATCGTCGTCGTCGACGCTACCCGCCCCATGCCGACGCCATCATTCCTTCCACCACCAATCCCTAGCCAGTGCAAATGCTACCCACTCCATGTCGTCGCCACTGCTCCTTCCACAACCACTCCCCACCTTCAACAAATGCTAACTGCAAAAATTTTTAAACCTGGACATTCACCGATTTTCAATTAACATACACCCTAGCTCATTGGGGGCAAAACAAACACTTCCCCAGATCTAAATTGGAACAAAAATTTCGCACTATTCACCTCTATTTTGAAGCTAATTCCAAGATTTTGCAAACGTCTATCTTGGGCTGGTTTTATTTAATCTGCAGGACCATTAGCAATATAAGGTAGAAAATGACTTTATGCGCTTGAGTTCGGGTAAAATTGAGTTATGTTTGGTGGGTTTCTAAGGCAGTGAAGGGGGGACGCTGTTAGTTTTGATAGCTTTATTTGGAGAATTTGAAGGCTACCAATTTCCCTAAATTTGCTTCGAATTGGAACAAATGAGGATTGCTAACCATGTCGTCAATTGCAGAAATGGTGACGGATGGGGTGGTGTTGGGCTGTCGGGTGGTGGGTCGGGATGTGAAGGGTTCCTGGTTCTAGGGTGGGTGTTTGTAGGGTGAAGTGGAGAAGATGAAGTGGATTTCTTTTATTTTAATTTTTTATATGAAAAATATAAAGTTACACATTTGCCCCTTTAAAAATCAGTTAACAATTGGTTAAGTCTTTGATTTTTTGTCAATAACAGTCAAATTAATGGTTTCTGTTGGACTGCAGGTGTGAATTTTTTGAAGATTTGGTACTTTCGGTGGCACAAACGAAAGGTTTGGATCAAGTCTGCTAATAAACAAAAGATTTGATATCTCAACTGCAATTTTCCCTTTTGAAATGGCAATTTAATAGGAACTAAGGGTGTGTTTGATTGACATGGAAAATATTACCTAGAAAAGAAAATATTTTCCATCTTTTGTGGAAAATAAAAACCACCTCTATCCAAGGAAAATATTTTCCTTAAAAACAAGGAAAATTAGGCATATTTTCAAAAGTTGGAAAATATTTTCCATGGAAAAAAATAGCAATCAAACACTCAAAGTGAAAATTTGGATGGAAAACTGATATTTTCCATGAAAAATAAATGTAATCAAACACACCCTAAGGGCTCAGAATTAGCGTGAAGGTCGATGAATTGCTTTGCGCAAGCCATTGGGCTTGGGCCCGCGCTTCTCTTCCCTCCAAACACCATCTCGAATTCAAATCCCAACTATTCTAATTCTAAGCACCGTAAGAAGGCCGTATCTCTTCTACAAAAATGCAGAAATAACAACGAAATTACTCCAATTCACGCTTATATCATTAAAAATGGCCAAGAAGACGACGTTTTTATTGTATTTGAGCTCCTTCGTGTTTGCTCCAAATTTAATGCCATTGATTATGCTCTCAAGATCTTCGAACAGTTCTCAAAGCCTAATGTCTCTCTCTGTACCGCTCTTATTGACGGGTTTGTGTTATCTAGGTTATATGATCATGGCATTAGAGTGTATATGCAAATGATTGAAAATTTTGTTATGCCGGATAATTATGTAATTAGCTCTGTATTAAAGGCATGTGGGTTTTACGGGGATATGAGAACGGGTAGGGGAGTTCATGCTCAGTCTGCGAAACTTGGGCTGTGTTCGAACAGATCGGTTAAACTTAAACTGCTGGAGTTTAATGGAAAATGTGGAGAATTCGAAAATAGGAAGAGGGTGTTTGATGAAATGCCCAGAGATATTGTTGCATTAACGGTAATGATATCCTCCTATCTTGATTGTGGGTTTGTGAAAAAGGCCTGTGATGTTTTTGATTTGGTGAGGATTAAGGATACGGTTTGCTGGACAGCAATGATTGATGGGCTTGTACGGAATGGGGAAATGAATTAGGCGCTGGAGATATTCAGGCAGATGCAAAGGGAAGGCGTGAGAGGGAATGAAGTTACGGTTGTTTGTGTTTTATCTGCTTGTGCACAATTGGGAGCATTGGAGCTTGGTAGATGGATTCATTCTTACATTGAGAAGTATGATATTGAGGTTAATTATTTCGTTGGTTCAGCCCTGATTAATATGTATGCAAGGTGTGGGAGTATTAAAGAAGCCGAGAGAGTGTTCGAGGGGATAAAAGAGAGAGAGGTCACAATTTATAATTCCATGATCATGGGGTTTGCGTTGCACGGGAAGAGCGTAGAGGCTGTTGAGATGTTCCGAATGATGATAAAGCACGGATTAAGACCAACTAACATTACCTTTGTTGGTGTTCTTAATGCTTGTAGTCATGGGGGATTGGTGGACGATTGTATTGAAATTTTTGCAAGTATGAAAATTGAGTATGGGCTTGAACCGCAGATTGAACACCATGGTTGCATGGTTGATCTTTTGGGTCGTGTAGGACATCTTGAGGAGGCTTTCAGATACATACAGAATATGGAATTATCCCCAGACCATATAATATGGGGATCACTCTTAAATGCCTGCAAAGTTCATCAAAATAATGAACTTGGAGAACAGGTTGCGAAAATTCTATTAGATAGTGGGCATGCTGATACTGGAACTTATATTCTTCTGGCTAACGCATATGCTTCTTGGAATAAATGCGAAGGGGCTGCACCAGTGCGGGCAATGTTGAAAGAAGGTGGTGGACAGAAAGAACCAGGTTGCAGTTCAATTGAAGTGAATAATGAGATTCACGACTTCTTTCTGGGAGACATTAGACACCATCAAAAGGAAGTGATATACAGAAAATTGGAGGAGTTGAATGAAATACTGAGGTCAGAAGGTTACAATCCGCAAATAGAGGTGGTGTCTCAGGATGTTACCAATCGAGAGAAGGAATGTGCTTTAGCCATACACAGTGAGAGGCTAGCAATATGTTATGGCTTAATATCGACTGAACCACAGTGCAGTTTAAGGATCATAAAAAATCTAAGAGTTTGCAATGATTGCCATTCTGTGATCTAGCTCATTTCGAAGATTACTGGAAGAAGAATTGTTGTGAGAGATAGAAATAGGTTTCACCATTTTCAAAATGGTGTTTGTTCTTGCGGTGATTATTGGTAAAGGAAGTGCTTCATAATTGGTTTGCCAAGCAACTTGCACGTGTGAAGTCCATGACAAGCCCTGAACAAGGAGTGTAGTCGAACAACGGATATGACATGAAATCAGATGGCTATGCTTTTCATCTTTGTTATGAGCAAAATTCCACTTCACTGTGTTTCTAGGATGCTCTTTGAAAATTGTTATTAAAGGTTCACTCGTCCAAATGAATTAATCTTTAGATGCTGTTGTTCTCTTTCCTGATCTTATGCATTTATTATCGAGAACTAGTTATCATCGTCTATGTGTTTTCGAGATCAAGATTCAAGAAAGGCATCCCAAGCAAGTGTCAAGAGTGTACTTAAAATGAATAATAATTCGTTCAAAGCTTGATTGATATAACATCTAATCTCATTCAAGCTTGCCTCCCATTTGATGGAAATTTCTCTGGCTTCTTCCGTACAATGTGGGAACCTTACCATATTGCTATTTGTCTCATAGATGTCCACAGTAGCACAGGAACTTTGTTTAGAAGAAAAAAAAAAAACAAATAATAGTTTCAAACCTACCATACTCCAGTTTGGTAGTTTCCACTGTCTGTCCAGGGTTAAGCCCTAGGATTTGGCGGCTTTAAGTACAACCATTTTTAAGAGATTTTGGAACACAAAATTGTGGCCATCGTTGGTGACAATGGCTAATGCTAATGGAAATGACAATAGCTAGCGACGTTTGAAGAAATCAAAATTCACAACACTACACAATTATTTTTGAAGTATAAACATTATGTTTTTTTACCATATTTATTTAATCAAATATAATCTAAGGTGTTTGAAGACAAGAGAAGAGATGTCATATTGAATTATACAATAGAAATTTCAAAATATACAGAGGTTAAAGGACACTTATGATGGGATTATGTATGGATAATAATGCAGTTATTGTACCGAAATTAATTAGGTAGATAAGTTAAGATAAAATACGTATGGAACTTCAAGATTGACCTTATTATTTTCATTACAAAATTAGGTTTTTTGGGTCGTTCATCTCCAAGATATCTCCTTATTCATTAATGGATAATTAAAGATATTGATAATTTATTACGGAAATAGGTTTTTTGGGTTGGTCGGCGTAAGATTTCTGCATATTTTGAAGTTTAAACTGCTTTTTTGACTTAGTCGAGACCATATTTCAAACGTCAAATAGGGTAAATTATACATGGTCAAAAAACGCATCCTCCAATAAAAAATTTCCCTCTTTATTGGCATGTGCACAAGTATTCAACTTGCCATGCTGAATTATATATATAAGTGCGTATATGTCTGGCATTACAATTACCTAAATATTCTTGCCAGAAAATGTTCACCGGAAACAGGCTCTCCGTCGTAGTACCCGCTCAGTCCTCGCCGAACGATACAGTCATTGACGGGTAAAACCTCCCTCCTCGCTCGTTACCATATCTAGTCGACATGAGACTTTGTTTGCTCTTTATTTTGTGTATTTTTTTTTTTTACCAACAATGTGCTGATTCCCTCGATTATTTGAACAGAATTGAGTTGCAATCAAAGACTTCACAAGATGCACAGCCCTCCACCGTGGGTCGGTCCAAGACTAGCATCCACGTAACTGCCCTGGATGGCATAGTCAATGTGAACTCGCTCTTCACCATGGCAATCTTCATCGGTTTCTCCCTCACGGTCCCTGCAAATGGCAGCGCTGGACATCCAGCATCATGCAATGCCAGTATCGATACAGTCAGAAGACTTATCGTCTTCGAAGTCATTTCCTTCAGTTTCTTTCTCTTTTCCTCCCTCATAGCCCAAAGTCTCAAGCTCACAATTAACTTGTTGAACAGTTTAGATGCAAGCGACCCTCATAAAGCTGATATCGACTCTTCTGTTCTGAAATACGGGTTGTTTGGCTCCGCCATTGGATCCGTCATGGGATGCTTGTTTTTGACACTTTCCATCGTGGATTTTATTCAAGTGAAACTTGGAGTACTTTCTTGTGGGGGTGAACCCGTGTACGGGGTCGTGACACTGGTTGTATTCGTGGGTTCTTCTCTACTGGTTTATATTTTCACTTCCGTATATGCTTCATTCTTTATGTGATCAAAAAATGACAGAAATAGTGGGATATCATCTGACCTTAAACTCTATGTCTAGTAGATAACTCTTGTGCTCACAACTTGTAATCTTAGATATATGTTGGTTAATTTGAAGGAAATTTAGATCCAGTTATAATCAATATTGTATTTCCTATATTAATGTTTAGATGTGGAATAAACGTGAAAGTGTACATTTATTTGTTTGATGTTTAGATGTGGAATAAACGTGAAAGTGTACATTTATTTGTTTGAATCTCTTAGAAAACAAGCCAATTTGCAATAACTTAGTGATAGAACTTATACTACTTGTTATAAATATTAAAGCCAAGGAAATGTGTCTAGATAAAAAGAATCACACAAGAACACAAGATTTAACATGGAAACCAAAATCTGGGAAATCCATGAATAGGGACGGGGAATTCACTATAATCAATAATATAAAAGTACAAAAAGATCTCGCGCGCAAGACTCTCAACCTATCTCAAAATATACGAGTCTATCTCTATAAACTAGTTACTCTTATTTTGATGTTCTCTCGATACTATACAATGTTTTGCTATGTTCTCACATGGTTATCAAGGTTATACATCACACGTAGTATAGATATAAAAACTCATTACAAGTGTTTTGGATGAAATACAACTTAAGAAATGAAATAGAATCGAAAAAGGACTCGTCAATTGGAACACACTACCACTTGATCGCTAGGTGGGTGACAGCTTCGCTGCTTGAGTAAAATGCTAGCGGCAAGAAGGCGCCAGCCCTTTTCTACGTTTTCCATCCTTGATGCTCGGGCCCCAAGTAGGCGCCGAGCTAGTGAAAAGCAACCCACATTTTCTCCTCGGTCCATAATTTGATCTTTTCAAGACCACTTCAACCAGAATTTCAAATCCAAGTCTTTAATTATCCAAAATCTTTTTACCAATCAAACTTTTAATCCTTGATGAACTTTGATCTTTTTTTTCAACCGAACTTCCAAACCAAGAAGACTTTTGTTTGTTTATCAATTAACCAATCTAATTCTAATTCCAATAAGAATTTGGGTCATACTCTTAACAATTTTCATGCTGATACAAATTTCAATATAAAGAATTATTCTTCAAGCAATTTTCCAGATAGAGTACTCAAAGTCCACTTCTTCTACCATGTCCCTTCATACTCAACAACTACGAATAAAATTCAAGCCATGCTTACCAGCAGAATTACATTGGCCCCCCAAAAATGCTTAAATTATTCTTTTCACTTTCAACTCCACTTGAATTACCAAACTTGCTCAACCTACCCGACTATCTAAATCAAAACTAGCTCCATCTAAGCCAATGACAGGTTCTTCAATATCATTGCTCGAATCATCACGAGCAACGTGATCACAACAAACACTAAGTAATTTATCACTTGTCTAATCATAAGTCGTAGCTACATCCAAAGTGATCGTCAAACCTTCCAAAACATATAACCAGGACTTTCTCTATCCCTTTAGCACAACTCTACCCGAGTTGCAAAACCTGCTCGAATTATCCCTATAAGGACCCGATCACTACTGGCTCCATTTGAGTCAACGCCTAACAAACTATAAGCAACCATATCAACCTCACCGAACATTTCCTGAGGTCTAATATTCAATCGCATCAAACGTGATCATCAAACCTTGCAAGACACATAGCTTGATCCTTACATTACTTCTCCTCCAACATCCAAACAAGAATCTGTCATAACAAAAAATCATGTTGAAATCCAAAAGCTGAATTTTTAACTTCATACTTGCCATCTCGAAATAATCAAATCTCATTTTGAGTTGATCAAACCTTACTTTAATACAAGACTCTCCCAAGAACTGCCAAAATCCTGGGCTCTGATACCACTTGTTAGAAAACAAGCCAATTTGCAATAACCTAATAATAGAACTTATACCACTTGTTATGATTATTAAAGCCAAGAAAATATGACAAGATGAAATGATTCACACAAGAACATAATATTTAACGTGGAAACTCAAACTCGAGAAATTCATCATCAAAGACGGAGAATTCATTATGATCAATGGCAAAGAAGTACAAAATGATCTCTTCTCTCTCTCTCTCTCTCTCTCTCTCTCTCTCTCTCTCTCTATAAACTAGATCCTCCCACTTTGATGTTTTTTCAATGCTATACAATGTTTTGTTATATTCTAAAAGGTTATCAATGTTATATATCACATGGAGTATATATAGGAACTCATTATAAGTGTTTTAGATTAAATACAACTCAAGCAAAGAAATAGAATCGATAAAGGACTCTCCAATTGGAACACACGCGAGAGGCAGCTTTTGCTTCTTGAGTGAAATGCCTACGCTAGGCATGCATCAGCTCACTACTCCATTTTTCAGCCCCGATACTCGTGCCCCAACTAGCCGCCCAGCTAGCAAAAAAAGTCAACTTTTTCTTCCCGATCTATACTTTAATCTTCTCGAGACCATTTCAACCAAAACTCCAAAATCAAGTCTTCAATTATCCAATGTTCTTTTACCAATCAAACTTTCAATCTTTGATGAATTTTGATCCTTTTTTCTACCAAACTTCCAAACCAAGAAAACCCTTGATCCTTTTGTCAATTTATCAATCCAATCCTAATCCCAATAGAAATTTGGGTCATACACCAGCCAACAGAATCCATAATATTTTAGAGTAAATTCAGTGTTTATTCTAATGCATGAACATTGATATCAATGTTAAGAAATGTAATTTAAGTTTTTAAATAATTTTCAATTACTTACAGTCTATTCAATCCTATCTTTTGCGTTGTATTATGCAATTGACAGTAGAGTGGGTTTGGCTTGAATATTTGTGAGGATTGGTCAATTTTATTGAATTTTTTTTTTTAAATTCACCGAACGTTGAGTATATATCTACAAATTTACGAGTGACACAGGACACGAATGCCATCAAATATCCTTGAAAAAAGTGAAGTCAAATTTTCTGTCATCCGTGTTCTGACGATTTCCAATACGTAGAATTGTTTTAATTAATTTCAACTAAAATCTGGATAAACGTATATCCTAAACAAATAATATAGTTGAAAAGGTTATTTAATTAGGATTCCAACGAAATTTGAATATCTCAATTTAGACTTTTTTATTGAAGTTAAGATTTGTTTTCTCTTGAATGTCCAACTGCCCATTCTACCTAAGAATACAAGTTGTGATATTTTTATTTTATAATTAGAGAGGAGACTTTAATTTCTTTGGCAGTTGTATATACGAATTTACCACTTAGATTTTCTCTCTTTTCATTTAATTTGATCTTGAAAAAAGGTACATAGAAGAATGCTTAGAAAAGGCTGACGTTTGAAGGGTTGTTTTAAGTAATACACTCTCTTGTAAGTCTTGAAGACGATGAACTAAGATATGAAATTTAAATAAATTAATATTAAGTCTTTAACTTGTTGAGAAGAACGATTTTTCCTGTTCTTCACTCTTATAGCATTCGGTGAATTCCTTCTGGCAATGAGTTTGGTACTTGAAACATGTCTTATCCTTTGGCAAATTTCTTTTGGCAACAAGTTAATCATTGAATGATTGTGCTTGTGGTACCTCTAAACTCTATCCCACATTTCCAAGTGTCACCGAGGGTGAGTGATTTAATCATCCCCAATTCTATGATAATAATTAGAAAACTTGACAAGTGAAAAAAATTTAATTTAAGGTATCATGTGGTCGCATTACGTATCCTCTTACCATCATGCATCGTGTGAAGTATTTTATTGATATCTAAGTAAGTATATGTCCGTTAATTAATTGTAAATCAATCCAATTCATATTTAATGAGAACATTTGATACATCTAATAAGCTTCAACGAAATGGTTAATTAATGTATTTTAAGTGGAGAATTGAGGAGGACTAATTTAAATTTATTTAATTTGTACATATTCTCTGCGTGTTACTTGTGTATCCATGTGATTTAAGCCGGCCGCCTCAGATGAACTTGAAAACAAATTAATGGCTGCTAGCCCTCTTTAGGTACAACCGCACTATGTATTAATTACTTTAGAATTTGTCATTCACATATTTTAAATTACGAGTTGAATGCACCAACTTTGTGTGTTTATTACTTTATTACTTTATTTTTCTATAGGATAGTTTGTGTGCATGTGTTGTTGGAGTTGAAAAGGTTAACCAACAAGTCACTTGCTTCAACATCTTTGACTCGGCTCGAGTTCCAACATGAGTTTTGGTTATATTAAAGTGCTTATTTGATAGCGTTTAAAATAAGTTGTATATCCTATAATTATTTCATTGTAATCAAAATATTCTTCTTATGGATAACGTTCTTTCACTTCCACTAGAGTTGCCAAATACGAGCAATTTTTAGTATAATGAGATGTACTACAGTATTCAAATGTCAGTCTGATCTCTGGATAAACAATTGATTTGGTGTTTAATCCCTTTGGCCAACCATCCTTACCAAATTCAATTGGCTGATCATATCCCCACCTTTTAAGTTCTTGTTTGATTAGAAATTCTCCAAAGAGCATGTCATCTTCATTGAAGTCGAAATTAATCATTATGAAATTTGACCTCTTGCTTCTTCTTATTTCCTGTCAATTGAGCAAAAAAAACATGTAGATCATTTGAACAAAAAAAGGAAAAAAAAAATCAAACAGAAGTAAGAAATGAATAAACCAGTATTAAAGAAAATAGTCCCCGACAACGGCGCCAAAAACTTGTTGTCAATTTTATCCCGCAAGTGGACAGATGTAACAAGTAGTAAAGTGGATATTTTAAGTCCAGATTATCGTTCCCACAAGGACTATTCTTTAATACCAAATTTATTATTTCTAATTTCTAGTTGACGAAAATAAACGAGAACAATGATTAAAAGTGATTTTTATTCTAACTACTTAAAAGTTTGTGAGTGCAACAGAAAATGAGTGAGAATTCAAATAATAAATGGGTATTAGGACGGAACAATTTCACCTATTGGTCACTTTTACTTCTAATATTGAGATTCATAAAATTTGAATTAATGTTCGGTCGAATTCTTCTACGGTATTCAATTTACCTCTCTCGATTTCTCATTTAGCCTATTTAAATAATTCAATTTCATATCTTTATGCAAATCAACATTATTTAAACAAAATAATAGTTCTAAGAATTCATATAGGACCGCAGAAATTAATATAGGTATCTCTATATATTATATTAATTTACCGAATTTTAATATGTGGTTTAAATAAGAATCGGCATCTCTAGGCAATTATTGTTCACGAAATCATTGAATAATTGACCAAAAAATTCAAAGCATTGAGAATATGATTAAGATCCACACATGTAATTACAACAAACAATGACTCAAATAAAAGAAATAAAGGTTCCCAAATCAGTTACAATGTTTGTCCTAACAAAGGATTTAGCTACGCATAATGAAAGAAGATAAATAACAAATTATCTTAGAGTACATTACCAGATTTAGAATTAAATATGTAGAAGAAAAAGTTAATCTTGCACCAAGAATTCCTTTCCCTTCCAATTTATGCTTCAACCCTTGAATTGCTTGTTGTTTTGTTCTCTTCAATTCTTCTCTTTTGATTCTCCAATTATGTTATCTTGCTTCTCAATGTGTGAAGAATCCTCCAAAAGTGTGAGAAAGACATATTTATAGGTGCCTCCTCCGTTTGTATAGAAAGTAGAGTTTTTATGGACTTCAAACGGCCTAAAAACGCACCCTAGACAATCCCGACACAGCGCCTAAGCGCCTCGAACAAATTCAGATAGCGCATAAGCGCTACGCATGCAGCGCCTACGCGCTATGATTGCAGCGCCTAAGCGCTGATTTTCGGGAAAAAAAATCAGAAACGTAGCACTTGGGCGCTACGGGATAGAGCCTAGGCGCTGTGGTCAATTCAATTGCATTGCACAACTTTCAGTCTTTTCATTATAACTTTTTTCCCTATATCCGATCGAGGAGATTCAAGATGTGCTAGAAAGCTAACTCAAAAGGTTATAACTTTGCTTTAGATACCATTTTCAAATTCGATCATTTGCTATGTCAAAAGTGGGTTGCAATATGAGTTAAAAATGATGCATTGGAACTTGATGTGTGATCATAATTTGATTATATTTCATCCTTTTGATGTCTTTCTATATTCAATTGACTCTGAGAACTCTTGAATCTTCATCGTGAGATTCGACACAACTTTTGAGTATTTTCACTTTAGTCCATGAACTTTGGATCTCTTACGATTTAGCCCTTTTTCTCCAATTTTGTCAACTTTTACTTATTTCGTTCAATTTCTTGTACCGTCATTAAATTTTACCTATTTAACACCAAATGAAATAATTTAGACCATAATTTATTCAAAAAGCAACTAAATGTCATCATTTTAAAGTCTTGAATAAATGTATAAAATACACTTATCAGCCAAATGACAATAGCTGGCGATGTTTGAAGAAATCAAAATTAACAACACTACACAATTGTTTTTGAAGTATAAGCATTATGTTTTTTTACCATATTTATTTAATCAAATCTATTTCAAGGTGTTCGAAGACAAGAGAAGAGATGTCATATTAAATTATACAATAGAAATTTCAAAATATAAAGAGGTTAAAGGACACTTATGATGGGATTATTATGGATAATAATGCAGTTACCATACCGAAATTAATTAGGTAAATAAGTTAAGATAACATACGTAAGGAACTTCAAGATTGACCTTATTATTTTCATTACAAAATTAGGTTTTCTGGGTCGTTCAAAGCCAAGATATCTCCTTATTCATCAATGGATAAATTATATTATCATTGGTATCATCATATCCTAAAAATTAGGTAAATTAAAGACAAAATATACTTCAAGATTGACATTTTGATAATTTCTTATAGTAATAGGTTTTTGAGTCATGCTACTTGTACTTATTTGTTCACACTTTCATTTACTCGTACCCACCTCCTCCTCTCATATGAAGGTTGGACCTCACGTTGTGACTCCCACATGAGACCCAATCTCATGTGAGAGAAGTGGTGGGGTCGAGTAATCCAAAGTATCAATAAACAAGTACAAATGACTTAATTCTAGATTTTTTGGGTTGGTCGGCGCAAGATTTCTGCATATTTAAAAGTTTAAACAGCTTTTTCGACTTAGTCCGTCAGTCGAGACCATATTTCAAACGTCAAATATGGTAAATTATACATGGTCAAGAAACGCATCCTCCAATAAAAAATTTCCCTCTTTATTGGCATGTGCTTAAGTATTCAACTTGCCATGCTGAAATATATATATATATATAAGTGCATATATGTCTGGCATTACAACTACCTAAATATTCTTGCAAGAAAATGTTCACCGGAAACAGGCTCTCCGTCGTAGTACCCGCTCAGTCATCGAGGAACGATACAGTCGTTGACGGGTAAAACATCCCTTCTCGCTCGTTATCGAATCATATTTAGTCGATGTGAGACTTTGTTTGCTCTTTATTTGTATATTTTTTTCACAAACACTGTACTGATTCCCTCGATTATTTGAACAGAATTGAGTTGCAATCAAAGACTTCACAAGATGCACAACCCTCCATCGTGGGTCGGTCTAACACTAGCATCCACGTAACTGCCCTGGATGGCATAGTAAATGTGAACTCGCTCTTCACCATGTCAATCTTCATCGGTTTCTCCCTCACGGTACCTGCAAATGGCAGCGCTGGGCATCCAGCATCGTGCAATGCCAGTATCGATACAGTCAGAAGACTTATCGCTTTCGAAGTCATTTCCTTCAGTTTCTTTCTCTTTTCCTCCCTCATAGCCCAAAGTCTCAAGCTCACAATTAACTTGTTGAACAGTTTAGATGCAAGCGACCCTCATAAAGCTGATATCGACTCTTCTGTTCTGAAATACGGGTTGTTTGGCTCCGCCACTGGATCCGTCATGGGATGCTTGTTTTTGACACTTTCCATCGTGGATTTTATTCAAGTGAAACTTGGAGTACTTTCTTGTGGGGGTGAACCCGTGTACGGGGTCGTGACACTAGTTGTATTCGTGGGTTCTTCTCTACTGGTTTATATTTTCACTTCTGTATATGCTTCATTCTTTATGTGATCAAACAATGACAGAAATAGTGGGATATCATCTGACCTTAAACTCTATGTCTAGTAGATAACTCATTTGCTCACAACTTGTAATCTTAGATATATGTTGGTTAATTTGTAGGAAATTTAGATCCAACTATAATCAATATTGTATTTCCTATATTAATGTTTAGATGTGGAATAAACGTGAAAGTGTACATTTATTTGTTTGAATCTCTTAGAAAACAAGCCAATTTGCAATAATTCAGTGATAGAACTTATACTACTTGTTACAAATATTAAAGCCAAGGAGATATGTCAAGATGAAAAGAATCACACAAGAACACAAGATTTAACGTGGAAACCTAAATCCGGGAAATCCATGAGCAGGGATGGAGAATTCACTATAATTAATAATAAAGAAGTATAAGAGGATCTCGCACACAAGACTCTCAACCTAACTAGATACTCGTATTTTGATGTTCTCTCTATACTATACAATGTTTTGCTATGTTCTCACAAGGTTATCAAGGTTATACATCACACGTAGTATAGATATAAAAACTCATTACAAGTGTTTTGGACAAAATACAACTTAAAAATGAAATAGAATTTAAAAAGAACTTGTCAGTCAGTTGGAACACACTGCCACTTGATTGCTAGGTGGGCGACAGCTTAGCTGCTTGAGTAAAATACTAGCGGCAGGAAGGCACCATCTCTTTGCTACGTTTTCCATCCTTGATGCTCGAGCCCCAACTAGGCGCCTAGCTAGTGAAAAGCAACCCACGTTTTCTTCTCGGTCCATAATTTGATCTCTTCAAGATCACTTCAACCAGAATTTCAAAACCAAGTCTTTAATTATCCAAAATCTTTTTACCAATCAAACTTTTAATCCTTGATGAACTTTGATAATTTTTTTCAACGGAACTTCCAAACCAAGAAGACTTTTGCTCGTCTATCAATTAACCAATCTAATTCTAATTCCAATAAGAATTTGGGTCATACTCTAACAATTTTCATATTGATACAAATTTCAATATAAAGAATTATTATTCAAGCAATTTTCCAAATAGAGTACTCAAACTCCATTTCTTCTACCATGTCCCTTCGGGTATACTCAACAACTACGAACAAAATTCAAGCCATGCTTACCAGTAGAATTACATTGGGCCCCAAACATGCTTAAATTATTCTGTTCACTTTCAACTCCACTTGAATTGCCAAACTTGCTCAACCCACCCGTCTATCTAAATCAAAACTAGCTCTACCTGAGCTAATGACAGGTTCTTCAATATCATTGCTCGAATCATCACGAGGAACGTGATCACAACAAACACTAACTAATTTATCACTTATCAAATCATAAGTCGCAGCTACATCCAAAGTGATCGTCAAACCTTCCAAAACATATAACTAGGACTTTTTCTATCCCTTCATCACAACTCTACCTGAGTTGCAAAACCTGCTCGAATTATCCCTACAAGAACCCGATCACTACTGGCTCCATTTGGATCAATGCTTATCAAACTATAAGCAATCATATCAACCTCACTGAACATTTCTTGAGGTCTAATATTCAATTGCATCAGACATGATCATCAAACCTTGCAAGACACATAGCTTGATCCTTACATTACTTCTCCTCCAACATCCAAACAAGAATCTGTCATAACAAAAAATCATGTTGAAATCCAAAAGCTGAATTTTTAACTTCATACTTGCCATCTCGAAATAATCAAATCTCATTCTGAGTTGATCAAACCTTGCTTTAAGACAAGACTCTCCCAAGAACTGCCAAAACGCCGGGCTCTGATACAACTTGTTAGAAAACAAGCCAATTTGCAATAACCTGATAATAGAACTTATACCACTTGTTATGATTATTAAAGCCAAGAAAATATGACAAGATGAAATGAATCACACAAGAACATAATATTTAACGTGGAAACTCAAACTCGAGAAATTCATCATCAAAGACGGAGAATTCACTATGATCAATGGCAAAGAAGTACAAAATGATCTCTTCTCTCTCTCTCTCTCTCGCTCTCTCTCTCTCTCTAAACTAGATCCTCTCACTTTGATGTTTTTTCAATGCTATACAATGTTTTGGTATATTCTAAAAGGTTATCAATGTTATATATCACATGGAGTATATATAGGAACTCAATAAGTGTTTTAGATGAAATACAACTCAAGCAAAGAAATAGAATCGATAAAGGACTCTCCAATTGGAACACGCGTAGGAGGCAGCTTTTGCTTCTTGAGTGAAATGCCTGCGCCAGGCATGCGTCAGCTCTCTACTCCATTTTTCAGCCCCGATACTCGAGACCCAACTAGCCGCCTAGCTATCAAAAAAAGTCAACTTTTTCTTCCCAGTCTATACTTTAATCTTCTTAAGACCATTTCAACCAAAACTCCAAAACCAAGTCTTCAATTATCCAAAGTTCCTTTACCAATCAAACTTTCAATCTTTGATGAATTTTGATCCTTTTTTCTACTAAACTTCCAAACCAAGAAAACCCTTGTTCCTTTTGTCAATTTATCAATCCAATCCTAATCCCAATAGAAATTTGGGTCATACACCAGCCAACAGAATCCATAATATTTTAGAGTAAATTCAGTGTTTATTCTAATGCATGAACATTGATATCAATATTAAGAAATGTAATTTAAGTTTTTAAATATTTTTCAATTACTTACAGTCTATTCAATCCTATCTTTTGCGTTGTATTATGCAATTGACAGTAGAGTGGGTTTGGCTTGAATATTTGTGAGGATTGGTCAATTTTATTGAAACCATTTTTTTTTTTTTTAATTTACCGAACGTTGGTATATATCATAATAAAAGAAACATAAAATACAAATTTACGAGTGACACAGGACACGAATGTCATCAAATATCCTTGAAAAAAGTGAAGTCAAATTTTCTGTCATCAGTGTTCTGACGATTTCCAATATGTAGAATTGTTTTAATTAATTTCAACTAAAATCTGGATAAACGTATATCCTATACAAATAATATAGTTGAAAAGGTTATTTAATTAAGATTCCAACGAAGTTTGAATATCTCAATTTAGACTTTTTTTATTGAAGTTGAGATTTGTTTTCTCTTGAATGTCCAACTGCCCATTCTACCTAAGAATACAAGTTGTGATATTTTTATTTTATAATTAGAGAGGAGACTTTAATTTCTTTGGCAGTTGTATATACGAATTTATCACTTAGATTTTCTCTCTTTTCATTTAATTTGATCTTGAAAAAAGGTACATAGAAGAATGCTTAGAAAAGGCTGACGTTTGAAGGGTTGTTCCAAGTAATACACTCTCTTGTAAGTCTTGAAGACGATGAACTAAGATATGAAATTTAAATAAATTAATATTAAGTCTTTAACTTGTTGAGAAGAACGATTTTTCCTGTTCTTCACTCTTATAGCATTCGGTGAATTCCTTCTGGCAATGAGTTTGGTACTTGAAACATGTCTTATCCTTTGGCAAATTTTTTTGGCAACAAGTTAATCATTGAATGATTGTGCTGGTGGTACCTCTAAACTCTATCCCACATTTCCAAGTGTCATCGAGGGTGAGTGATTTAATCATCCTCGATTCTATGATAATAATTAGAAAACTTGACAAGTGAAAAAATTTAATTTAAGGTATCATGTGGCCGCATTACGTATCCTCTCACCATCATGCATCTTGTGAAGTATTTTATTGATATCTAAATAAGTATACGTTCGTTAATTAATAGTAAATCAATCCAATTCATATTTAATGAGAACATTTGATACATCTAATAAGCTTCAGCGAAATGGTTAATTAATGTATTTTAAGTGGAGAATTGAGGAGGATTAATTTATATTTATTTAATTTGTACATATTCTCTGCGTGTTACTTGTGTATCCATGTGATTTAAGCCGGCCGCCTCAGATGAACTTGAAAACAAATTAATGGCTGCTAGCCTTCTTTAGGTACAACCGCACTATGTATTAATTACTTTAGAATTTGTCATTCACATATTTTAAATTACGAGTTGAATGCACCAAATTTGTATGTTCATTACTTTATTTTTCCATAGGATAGTTTGCGTGCATGTGTTGTTGGAGTTGAAAAGGTAAACCAACAAGTCCCTTGCTTCAATATCTTTGACTCGGCTCGAGTTCCAACATGAGTTTTGGTTATATTAAAGTGTTTATTTGATAGCGTTTGAAATAAGTTGTACGTCCTATAAAATATATGAATAAAACATATATTTGATCGGCTAAGTTATAATTTAATTTTTGTCAAATGTGCATTAAGCAATTTATATAACGGATGTGTTATTTTGTAGACTAGTAATCACAACAATGGTTAACCAAAGCAACTCCCTCAAATGCAATTTTTCACCATTTTCTAGATTTTTGAATGTTTATCGAGATGAATTCTTCTTCTTCTTCTTCTTTTTTTTTTTAAAAAAAAATAGTTGTGAGGAAAACCTTTTTAGGCATAGTAGTTAGTTTTAATACAAATTTTAAAACACGTGTTATATTATAATTATAGAAAATGTAGAGAATACATATATATTTTTAAAATGACAGAAAATATCATAAACTTATGATAGTATATAATTGTGTCGAAGCAATTATTAATTGAAAACCTCTCTTCTTCTTTCTCGATCTATTCGAGGAGGCTAGCAAAAAAGGGAACAAAACCTTATGAAATTACGACCTGGTATTGATTTATTTTTTTTAATTACTTTTTCTCTGCATTCATTTTTAACCACACAATATTCTTCAAATAAGAAAAATTATTTTTCGCAAAATCACTTCTCAAAAAATTTAAGTTGACACAAAGAAGCAGTGATGACAATTTACCCCGCCTCGCTCCGAATGGGGCAAAAAAAACCCACCCCGTCGCGGGGCGGGGCATGGAAAAAAAATATATATTTATTTCTAGACAATTCATCCGTTAAAAACTCATTTTAAATTTGTATTTTATCCTCTAATAATAATGTAATTCGAAACTTTGAAAATGTAAAAAATAAATAAATAAAATTAAACGGGGCAACAAATGGGGCAAAAAGTTATCCCGTCCTCGCTCCGTCCCGCCCCGTTGCCATCACTACAAAGAAGTGTACATTTTGTGGGCCCAATGGAGACAAGATTCAAAGTCAAAATATGGTAGGTCAAGAATGACACATCTCTAACAACCTGTCCTGTCACGATGCCATCACTAAAAAGAAGCATACATTTGTGGGCCCAATGGAGACAAAATTCAAAGTCAAAATAGGGTAGGTCAAGAATGGCATATCTCTAACAAAATTAACCCTGTAATGCTTGGCATGTCTAAAATTATTCAATTCTGGCGGGGTTCCAGTCTTCAGACAATAATATAATGTATGGTGGAACATATATTATTAAACAAAATGTAGCATTGATGAAAAAAGACATTATTGGTATGCTCAAGTCTATATATAAGTACATGCATCTATTACAAATTGCAAGCATCTCTTCACGTAATCTTGTAACAAAATGTTGTCAAGACATAGCCTCTCTCAGAGAAACTCCAAAAATAACTCGTTTAATGTAGCACCGGCGCCCCTGTCCCCGACAATTGATGGGTACCCCTCTCTCTCTTTATAATTCATTATATATAATTTGATGATAGAGTTTGTTTGGCAAGATTTTTGAAAAATTTTAAATTGTTTCTACCCCTTCGAATCCATTATTCTCCATGAAATTATAATTCATTTTTCTCTTTTTTCTTATCAATTACATATTTTTCTAATAAAATAATATTACACGTAAATTCAAAAACTTTTCTTCTTTTTTAATCACACGTTCTCCAAACAATTATTATTCTTCTCATTACAATATGGAATAATGAGGGCCAAACGGGCGCTGAGACTTTACTCTTAAATATGTTCAGATAATTTTTTGTAAGTATTTTTTTCTATCTAGAAGAGTTTTTAAGAAAAGTTAACCTAAGGTGATTTCTTTAAAAAACTCTTCTACAAGAAATTGAAGAAGAAACCATACCAAAAGTGTCCTTAATCATCGTCTAAAAACTTCATTTTATAGAGTGATCGCCTTTATATGCGTTCATTTAAATCTTGTTTTCGAGATCTAATTCCTTTTGTTGTTTGGACAGAATTGAGTCACAATCAAACGCTTCGACAGACACACAAAACCCTGTCGCCGCTGTCCCTGCCACCACTACCACTGCTGCCACTTCCACGGGAAGGTCCAAGACGAGCGTCCACGTAACAGCCCTCGATGGCATAGTGAACGTCAACTCACTCTTCACCATGGCAACCTTCATAGGCTTCTCCCTAACTGTGCCTCAAGCCGGCAGCGCCGGCAATCCAGAATCATGCAACCCCAGCACCAACGTAATCAGGAGACTGATCGTTTTCGAAGTGATTTCGTTCAGTTTCTTTCTCTTTTCCTCCCTCATAGCACAAAGTCTGAAGCTGGCAATCAACTTGTTGAATAGTTTAGATGCAAGCGACCCTCATAAAGCTGATATCGACTCATCTTTCCACAAATACGCACTGTTTGGCTCCGCCATTGGATCTATCATGGGATGTGTGTTTCTGATGCTTTCGATTGTGGATTTCGTTCAGGTGAAATTGGGTGTGCTTTCTTGTGGAGAAGAACCTGTATACGCCGTTGTAACGCTGGTTGTGTTCGTAGGTTCTGGCTTACTGGTTTATATTACTACTTCTATATACGCAGCATTCTTTATGTAGCCTAATAGTTAGAGAGAAATAGTGGTTAAAGTGTTCTTATATTTCGATATTTTCATATATTTTTTGTAAAATGCGAATATGTGTTATTAATAAAATAACATTGAAACTCTTAAGAAATTTATGGGTGATTTTCTTTGTGAATATATATTTGCTGTAGCTTTTTTGGAGAATTGAAGCAATACAAAAAGAAGAAGAATTCAAGAAAAGTGGAATTGAGAATCGGTGTCGGAAAATAAATTTTGAAGTATACATTTTTTGAGATTTTTGTGTCTATTTTCTATGAAAACGATCCAGCGAGCAGATCTCATGGGCTTTGTCCATGATATTCAGCTTGTTTTAGTCCAATTCCATCGTTTTGTTAAAACGGTTGATCTTTTCAAAATGAAATCCAAAATAATCTAAATTAAGAAGCTCGATGAGCAAGTCAATCTGTCTAAAGCTCAAATAAGTTTTTTAATTGACGTGCTGTTTGAGGTCTTTGTTTTCATGCTTATCTTAAACAACAAATAGGAAATTTGCATGGTCAAGAAAGATATCCAAATAATTTTTCCATTGGACCTATTTCGAATGAAACAAATGCTATAAATAAAGAATTGATGAAAAACATGTCTACATTATTTCTCATGCCATTTTTTTGGAAGAATCTATAAATATTTGTATAGCATAACAATACATAATAAATAATCTTATAAGAAAACAATTTCCAAAAATAATATTGCAGCTGTAGCTCCTTCGTATGAAATACGAACTTTTTGATCATGGATCTAGAGAGGCTGAAAAACAACAAGTGACACGATTAGGATATCCTCCTTTTGTATGAGGGCTCTAATCTAGATCACGATCGTTTTTCCACTTGGGTTGGGTCGAAGAGTTAACTGTCTTGTGAAATGATTGGACCTATAAATTCTTCAATGATGAACCAAGAGCCCTATCATTACCTCCCAAATTAAAAATTGTTTGGCAACAAAAAAAAAAACCAACAATAACCATTAAGAGAGTACAAGAGCTCGATTATTTCATGAATCATGTGCAACCCTACTCTATCACTCTCGTGAGAAATTGTCTAGTCATGGACTCGTGTTCCTTATTATTGTGATCTCCTCAGCATTTTGTCTTTTCCGATAATGAAGGAGGCTGCTGTAAGAGCAGTGGCAGCAAGTGAGCACGTTTAGTTTGACAACGACATTGCAATTGACTAAAATTTGGAATATTGTGATTATAAAAATAAAAAAATAAAATTGGATACTTTGTAAATTTTCACAATTTTGAGATTGTGTGTTTAGAGTTTGATTCCTCATAAATTTTGGAGTTTAAATATAATAAATTATAAATATTTTATGGACATTTGTTGGGTTTTAATACTCAATAAATTTGGACAATGATTTAAAACAGTTGTCGGATAATTTATCAACACCATGAACTTGATTCGACACGAATACGACCAACACTTTTGGATGGCCCAAGTTTGGGTTGGATGAGTTTTTTGGTTTGTTGGACCATTTAGTAGTAAGTATGAACTTGGATATTAGTCCATTAGTTTAGGATTAAGTGGCATACCATTTGCACTTGGTCTTGGCCCATTGAGGAGAGTTAAGCCCTATTATTGGTAACTTAATACTATGATATTTATCCATCTCCTTCAGCCGTGTGTTTGTTAACGTGTGCAATGGAGAGAAAAACGTGAGGTAGCCGACCAGGGGAAATTGTGAGTTCAACCATTGCTTCTTCTATTCTCTCCTTCCTTAGTGGATGTTGGAAAGGGGGCACCAGAAGTGAAGAAAGGTTTGGATCGAGTCGAGGTAAACTAGTGTTCGTTTGATTGTTTATTGAGCCTGGAATCAAGATTTCTTGAGGGATTTCTGCGACAACATACTTGTTTTCGTATAAAAAGCGTCATTACAGAAAATTTGATTTTTAATTATGAAAACTTTTATCTTGAAACTTTCTCGACGACCCTTTTTAACTAAAGAAATCATATTATTATGACTTTATAATCTTGTCGTTACAAGTGTATTTGTTATAGTGGGTGATGATTCATCCTGCATAACACACAAAATTAAAATAAGAATACAATTAATCAAGTTATATAAAATTCGATCATAATCACAATTCAAGGGTTTGGAGTTGATGCCCAACAGAAACCTTGACCTGAAAAAATAAGTTTCCTCTTTTAATTTGCTTACGAATTTATGTCTGACATTTTGCTTTGCATCAATTATGTTCTCCATGTAAAAATTCTTATATATAGATAAACGATCAAAACTGCTTGTCATGGAAAACCATAAACCCTTCATGAAAAACAGTTTTCCATGACGGTTCCATTTGTGAAACTCACCCCATTCTATAGCAACTATCGGGAAACAAGGAAAGGATGTTAGGACGAGAGCTAGCTAATCTGTCTTGGGGAATGGGAGAAAAATGATGAGAGTGAGATTGTACTTGCCGCTAAAGCCCTCACCCAAGGGCAGGGAACAAAGTCAGAAGTGGAGAAAGAAAATTGACAATTTTTTCCTTCAGTTCGATTCTTTGTTCCTCCCTCATAGCACAAAGTCTGAAATTGACAATCAACTCGGTGAACAGTTTAGATCCGGATGAACATCTTAAAGCTGATATCAACTCTGCTGCCTTGAAATTCGGGTTGTTGGGCTCCGCCTTGGGTTCCTTCGCCGGATGTGTTTCGTTGATAGCTTCGATTTCGTTTTTTATTCAAGTGAAATTGGGAAAACTATCTTGTGGGGGCGAGTCACTAGTAGTTGTTGTAATATTGGTTGTGTTGGTAGGTTTTGGACTTTTAATTTATGTCACTGCTTCTCTTTTTGCATTTGTCTCATTGTTTTTGTGACCAACTATTGGGGTGATAAGGACGGGAAAACATGGAAATCCTTCGATGCTTTCATGTACTCGACAATTCAATAAACAAAATCTAACTTCTTTACATTTTTGAATGTTTTTATATGTCTAATGCACTTCCTATTTCAAATGTTGATGATAATACTTTGACTCTTAGATCCTTGAAAAATGAGATGAACCATTGGAATTTGAATTGGAGTGGGCTATGTGTATATAAAAAATTGTACATAATGGTGTCCCCCACTCACATGGGTGGGATCCATCTGAATATAAATATGGAAGTGGGCCCCACCCATATGAGTTGGTTGACACCATTATGTACAATTTTTTATGGATAACAAGAATTATCCATTTGAATTTAATGCCTTTTTGCCATGGAAAACACGCATATACAGTAGATATTAAGTCTTGTTTGGTAGGGATTAAAATCAAAATTTTAATAGATTTTGATAAAAGTTGATGGATTAGAAAGTTGCGAACCCATAAAATATGTAGTTGAAATAATTTATTGATTTAGATTAAAATTTTAATTTTAATCAATACCAATGCTACTGTTTAGTGTATATTAAAATTCAATTCTTAGTAGACTTTGATTAAAAAAATTTTGACGAAATGTGTAGTTGAAGGTTACAAAAACATGCACTAGATATATTAAACCCTTGTTCCTGTAGATTAAAATCAATTATAATAAATAAAGAGTAGCTGAAAATTGAAAAAGCATTCTGATGCAAACCTCCTTGCCCTTTTGTTTGGGATTCTATACACACACACACACACACACACACACACATATATATATGCATGACATTTCACATACTTAAAATAATCTTGTCAGAAAAAGATCTCAAGAAATAGCATGTCTGCTCTAGCTCCAGCCCAGCTACCGTCGAACTTTGATGGGTATTAAAATCAGATTTTAGTATATTCCGATAGAAGTTGATAAAATATATGTTTGAAGGTTGTAAAAGCATGAAAATTGTATTAAGCCCTTGTTTGGTGTAGATTAAAATCAAATTTTTAATAAATTTTAATAAAAAATTGATTAATCGTGCAATTGAAGGTTGTAAACTATGAGCAGCTAATTCCATCTAGGACTTAGATTGTGAACAACTTTTAGTACACGAGACTAGGGTTGGATATGGTCTAGTTCGGTTCGGTTCTAACGAGAATCGAATTGAACCGAAATTTTTGGGTATTTAGTAAGTGGAACCGTCGGTTCAAATTTAATTACGGAACCGTTCGGGTTCGGTTCCATATTTATAATTAAATTTTTTTAATATATACAAAGTTACGTTAATTTAATTAATGATATGTTCAATATTAACTCTTACAAAATAACGTTGTTCAATTTTATGTGTTTCAAGTCTCTTTTTGCTGAATTCTTCATAAATTTGATTATTAAAATCACAGAAAAAGAAAGATAGCGAGCTCAAAATAATTAAGAGAGATGTTGTAGAGCTTTAATTCGATTTTCTCCGGTAGAAGTGACACTACAGTAGAAAAACATATTTGGATAAAATTGAGGTCAATTTGATTAAGTTAATTTTGAACTGAAAATTAAAAATAGGAAAATTATATTTTGTGGTTTGAACTAAATTAACTAGTTAACAAATTTATTTAGAAAAAATAAAATAATTTTACTTATTTAAAATAAATTAATTAAAAAATTAAGGAGATTCGGTTCTTCGGGTCTTAGCTTAGAACCGATAACCGCACCATACCCGTCGGTTCTTGATTCAAATACCCGTTTAGGTATTTAATTTGAGAAGAACCGTCGCGTTCGGGTTCGGCCAGTTCGGGTCAATAGTTTTGTCTAACCCTATACGAGACTCCACGTCCACTCTAAAGCTAGTATCCCTTGCGAATTGAAGGTTGTGTCAAAGAGTAACAAATTCAGTCACCTCCGGACCAAAGAACCACATAACCCGTCGATAACTAGCTGCAGCCATCGCCACATCCTCATGGTTTCAAATGAAAGCCCCCATTATATCGATCACCCCTCATCTGCCGCACTGTGGCATCAATGTCTTATATTTTAATATGAATATTGTTTGTACACTAATTCTATAGAAAATCTACTATAGAATGATGTACTGCACACATTACTTAGATTTTTAACGGTAGAAGTAGACGGTAACTGTCTAGAAGGGCCGCTGGCATGTAAAACTACTAGGTTAAGGAGGTCATTGCTAAAAATGAAATAATATGGACTACTTATGCAAAGGCTCATAGGCGAGTGGCTACTTTTGCAAAATTCCCTTTTGAAAAAGT